ATCTCATGGTCAAGCAGTTTCTCATAAAGTTCTTCATTAGGCGATCATTGTTTCAGGCAACCGGATGGCTGCAGAGATAGTGTTATAGTCGGGTTCAAGGCCTTGGAGGATTCTCACATTAAGTAGCACAGCAGTGATTGGTGCTCCACCGATTGCAAGTTCATCAGCAATTGAATGTAGTATCAGGCCTAGAATCTTTGGTAATACTATCTAGTTAATCTTGGAGACTGATAATTCATGTATGTGATTTATTGGCGAAGGTAGTGTGCAGGGATTCCCAAGCTTTGCATGCTGATGTGACTGTTGCAACAATTGATGCAAGTGTAGGTTCCATCGATGCTAAGATGGTGTTTACGACAAGCTGATCTTCTCGAAATAAGTTCATATAAGGTGGATTCAGAGTGGTTTCATTGTTTCCTATAAGTGAGATTGGAGGAGCAAGAGTTGTGCCATCAAGATGACAGAAAAGGTTGCATAAGCAACGACACAAGTGCCTTCTAGGTGGTGAAGTTATGACTACTGGCAAGTTTGATGGGTAATTGAAGGCAGGGTTAAATTGCACGATGACAATGTTATTGGTTGTGGTATCTGCATTAACAACAGTGGTATTGGGGACAATTTTTCCATGAGATAGCAGTTAGGATTAGAGGGAAAAAATTGGGATCATACCCGTGTGAGCTTTTAGAGCCCGGATACCATAAATCAACTTATACTACTAGAATGAGATGTATTATGCATTATTCATAATCTAATGCAGAATATATATATAAGTGTTGATACATTAATGAGTCATAAAGTGATACAACACTAATCCTAGTTGTACAAGAGGATAAAATCACGCTATATCTCTTTTACAATAAAGGTTAAGAATTCAGAAAAATCTGGAAATTATATATTAAGAAATAATTTTATATATATTGTCTGTCTTTATTATACAATGATGCTTTTAAACTTATGTGCTAAATTGGCCCTTAACATGATAATAATACTTGAAGTTAATCATTACAAAGTAGTAATATTTTAAATGCTTGAGGGTATGTTCTGGCAAAATCCTGTTGGATATTCCTTTCCATAATAAGTTGCATCTTATTGGATATGTCTTCCCATAAAATCATGTCGCATTAGGTCTACATGAAATTCTGATCGAGCTCCCTCAAATATCAAAGAATTCTTTTAACTCTTACGTACTCAATTCTGAAAAGAAATTATCATCTCCACTATATGTATCAGTATTAACACCTTGATGACTCATGAATTGATGTTGATCATGCTGCTAATCTTGAGTGATGTGCCGCGAAAGCTTGGCACATTTGATGCTTAAAAATAAGGATTAAAACTAGAATCAAGTGTATTTATTTGGATATAATATGTTTGGTAGTGTTGTACAGGTGAAACAGGTGAAAGTGAAATCAGATAGAAAAGAAAAAGAAATCAGTGCAGGTTAATTGAAGGAAGTAAAGACCACGGACGACTTCACGAGCCGTGGTCTTCATTACGGGTCGTGGTGCGAGTTGTGATTCTAATCCAGTGCTTGGGGTTGGAAGAGTTGAGATTTGGTAGGAGCAAGGAAAGATCACGGCCAACCTCACGGACCATGGTCATCATAACGGTATGTGGTTGTGCTCGTGAAGTTGAATCAGTGCCTGACCTTTGGGAAGATGGAGTGCATGAGCAACCAAGTGAAGACCACGGAAGGTTTCACGGGTCGTGGTCACTATAACGGCCCGTGGTGGTGATTGTGAAGATGATCCAGTACCTAGGCCTCGAAAAGTTAATTGGGAAGTGACCAAGTGAAGACCAGGGGCACCTTTATGGACCGTGGTCAGTTCCATGACCCATGGTAACGTCCGTGATGCATGTTCCAGTGTTCAAGCCTTGAAGACTAAAGGATGAGGAATTCTAAGGGAAGACCACGGAGGGCTTCACGGACTGTGAAGCCCTTGACGGGTCATGGAAGTGGTTGTGAAAGGGCCCAACAGTTCAGTCCTACTTCGAGTAGGACTTTTTTTAAAAACACTTATTTGAATTAATTAGGTCGTATTTACATTTTTATCTTATCTTTCAGTGAATGACGAACAAGTTTCGATAATTCATAGCTTTTGGTTTCAACTTTGGATTTGGAATTAAGTTTGATTTCAATTTCGGATTCTTGAAATATCAAAGTGGTTTTGATTGCTTATTCTCGTAAGTACTTTCTAACATGTTTTCATTCTATATTTCTGAATATTTACGTGAAATCATGAGTGGCTAAACACCACAACTAGGGTTGTGGGATCCATGACGAAATTCTAAGTGGGATTTCGTAAAACGAGTGAAAGGCAATTTGTGGTTACAAATCGTAGTCTAGTTTTCATTATTCATATGTCTTGATGAGTGGACGCATTAGGTAAAGCATGTATCTATCATTTGTTCAAGAGAAAAATGATAGTAGGAAAAAGCTGAACTAAAAATGATAGTAGGAAAAAGCTGAACTAATATAACTAAATGGAGTTAAAGTTCGAGTTCGAGAGAAAAGAATCTTAACACCCTTGTAGGCGAGGGTAAATCATATAACACTCTGGGACCGAGAGGATTTGAGTGAAGATTATCTGAGTAGACTGAGAAGTATCAGATATAGTTAACACGCATGTAATTTGTAGACGTAAGTTGCCTGAAACTCAATTATGCAAGAACGTTAGATGCAACGTTATGGGAAACACAATCCTAGTTTTAGTTAATTATTGAAACAACTGCTAAAACTGATATTTTGTTAATTGCTCAAATCAATTTTAGTTTGCAACTTAGATTTCTGAAGCATTACTGCTTAACACAATTTTACTTCCCACAATTGTTTATTTAGGAAATAATAACGACATTTGGGAAAAAAACACGACAATGAAATCATTTATGTAAAGAAATTCTCTGTGGGATCGACCTCAACTCACGTTGAGTTCTATAAATTGACTTCGACCATTTATATCTCTTAATTGAGGTGTAAGTTTGGACGTATCAAATTTTGCCACCGCTACTGGGAATTTTATTTGAGAAGTGTTTTACTAGCTTTTATTCTAAGTGTAGTTAGATTTCCTAATTTTACGTCTAGTTCTTTGTTTGTGTCTCTTTCAGGTGACTTCGATTGTGTAAGCCAAATACGAGAAGTAAGGAAGCCCCATTAGTCCCATACCACCCAGAACTCAGGAAGACAATTCGAAAATGGTGAATGCACAAGAACTTGAGGCACAAAGACTGAGATTTGGATTGGAAAACCATCGCAAGAGGTGTTCAGCCAAATGTTGTGAACAATCAACCTAGGGCAGTGGACGAGAACATAGCAGTGAATGGAATCATTCTTCCCCACTGCCAACCAATAGCTCCAAGGGGTAGAGCACAACATCCAGCTCACATGATGTATGAGCAGGATGACTTAGACTTGGATGAAGTTGGAGCCACGGGAGCGATAGTGTTACTTGCACTGCCTCCAAGTGTAAAATACACAATCACCAGCACTATGATTCAACTGTTGAATCTGAAAGGTATGTTCAGGGGTGCGGTTGATGATGATGCTAATCAACATTTGATGAACTTTGTGGAGATTTGCAAATCGTAAGAGATTCCTGGAGTAAGACAAACAGTGATGAGGTTGAGGTTGTTTCATCTGTCTCTTAGTAGAGAGGCAGCCAACTGGTTGAATGAGATGCAGGTTGACTCAATCAAGACTTGGACTGAGTTGAAGGAGGCTTTCGTGGAGCGATTCTTTCCAAAATCAAAAGAGCTACAGATGAAAGACGAGATCAGTGCCCATAAGCAGCTACCAGGAGAAGCGATGCATGACACTTGGTGGAGGTTCAACCAAAAGCAAAACAAATGCCCAAACCGTGGTCTCACTAAGAGACATCTAAAACAGGCATTTTACAGGTCTTTAAATTATGTCACTATACATGTTGTTGATATAGTGTGTGGAGGATCGTTTATAAGGAAGCCATTCTCAGAGAGCATGCAACTAATGGATGAAGTGTCAAACAATAACAGGGCATGGTACACCAAGGATGCAAAAGTAGGAGATATGGGGTACATATTTGAGCTGTTGCTGAACAAAGGATGAGAGAAAAGGAAAGGGATCAGGATATGGCACACATGAGGACCCAAATAGATCTACTAACGAAGCATATTGTCGCCAAGTTGAAAAGGTAAATGTTGTGAGTCAACCAAATATGTATGAAGATCAGGACATCAATCTAGATGAGGAGGCTAATTATCAAGGCAACCAAGAAGGTTTCCAGAATTATAACTCAGGCAACCAGGGTTACGATTATGGAAATGCAGGTCGAAACTAATCCAGGGAAGGCCAGTATGATAGACCAGCTAATAGAGAGCAGTGAAACTGGCAGAATAGATATGGGTACAGGAATGATCACAGTGGTGTGTATGTTCCCCCAAGTAATAGAGAATGATCGTTGTGGTGTGTATGTTACCCCAGGTAATAGAGACCGGGCAAGTGGTAGTTCCAGCGGGTCTAAGCTAGAAGACATGATGGCCAAGGTGCTCCAAAATGTTGAATCAACTGATGCAGGGGTAAAAGAGATGAAAGGTGAATTCTCTAGTATGAGTCAACTGGTAGACTCTCACACCACATCCATCAAGTAGATTGAGCAGCAGTTGGGGCAACTTTCAGCGTCATTAAATCAGAGGAAAAATGGGTCACTACCAAGTGACACAATCCAAAATACCAAAAAAGACGGGCATTGCATGGTTATCGCCACCATAAGTGGTAAGATCCTTACTAATCCTATTTTTGCAGGTACTAAACATGAGCAGGTGTTGGAGCAAGCTGGAAGAGAGCAGGATGAAGCTGAGCAAGTAGATGACTTGGAGGATGCTCAACCAATAGTTAAACAAGTAGGAGCTAAAGAAAAAGAGATTGAAGGAACCTTGTCGTTATAACAAATCCCAAGACCACCTCTTCATTTCCCTCAAAGGCTTAAAAGAAAGTTGAGGATGGGAAATTCGCTAAATTCATCACCATGCTGAGACAGTTATTCATGAACATACCATTGGTGGAAGCCCTTGAGCAGATGCCACGATATGCCAAGTTCATGAAGGACTTGGTCACAAAGAAAATAGTTGTAAGTATCGATCTAACTGACAATGTTCATCACTGCAGCACTATTTCTACCAGGTCTATGGTACAAAAGAAAGAGGATCCGGGTGTATTTACCATAGCGTGCACTATCAAATCTATTGAATTCGCAAAGGCCTTGTGTGATCTAGGGGCTAGTATCAACTTGATGCCGCTAGCCATCTGTAAGCAACTGGGGTTAGGAGTTCCAAATACCACAGCGATAAGGTTAATGATGGCAAATAGGTCAGTGAAGCGACCTGAAGGAATTCTATGTGATGTTCTTGTGAAGCTGGACACGTTCATCTTTCCTGCAGACTTTGTGATCTTAGATTGCGAAGTGGATTTTGAGGTTCCCATTATTTTGGGAAGACCATTCCTGGCCACTAGACGAACATTGGTAAATGATGAGCAAGGAGAACTAAAGTTCAGACGCAATAAGAAAGAGGTAAAGTTTAATATTTGCAGGTCCATGAAGCAGCCATATGATATGAATGTGGTGTCTGCAATAGCAGTCTTCGAAGAACAGAAATGGGAGCAACCATTGAAGAGAGGATTGTTGTCGAAACCTTAGCTGCAGTGCTGATAAACTTTGAAGCTAACTTTTCGTCCGACTATGTAGAGATCGTAAATGCTCTGTAGGGTATGGGAGCACACTCTTATGCTCCAAAGAAATTGGACCTGGATCTGGAAAACAGGCCAAATCCTCCAGAAAAACCATCCATTGAGGAGCCACTTGTGCTGGAACTGAAACAGTTTCCCAGTCATCTGAGGTATGTATTTTTAGGAACTAACAACACTTTACCTGTGATTTTGGCTACAGATTTAAATGATGAACAGGTCTAAGTTGTGATCAAAGTGTTCATTAGGTTTAAAACGGCCATTGGGTAGACCATTGTTGACATCATAAGGATACCTTCAAGTATATGTACCCATAAGATCCAACTTGAGGAGGACTGCATCCCAAGCATTGAACACTAGAGGAGGTTAAACCCACCTATGCTAGAGGTGGTCAAGATAGAGATAATCAAGTGGTTAGATGTCGGGGTGGTGTACCCTATTTCTGATAGTCATTGGGTCAGTCCAGTGCAATGTGTGCCCAAAAAGGGTGGTATGACTGTGGTTGCAAACGACAAGAATGAGTTGGTCCCGTAAAGGCCAGTCACTAGATGGAGAGTGTGCATGGATTACAGGAAGCTGAACAAGTGGACCCTGAAGGATAACTTCCCGATGCCTTTCATGGACCAGATGCTTGACAGGGTTAGCTAGAAAAGGGTGGTACTGCTTCTTAGATGGATACTCTGGATACAACCATATATCAATTGTTCTTGAATATCAGGAAAAGACAACCTTAACATGTCCTTATGGCACATTTGCGTTTAAACGCATGTCATTTGGACTATGTAATGCACCAGCAACGTTCCAAAGGTGTATGATGTCTATCTATTCAGACATGGTAAAAGACACTATAGAGGTATTTATGGATGACTTTTCAGTGTTAGGTGATACATTTGATAATTGTTCGCTGAATCTTAGAAGGGCCCTACAAAGGTGTGAGGAAGCCAACCTAGTGCTGAACTGGGAGAAGTGCCATTTTATGGTTAAAGAAGGCATAGTCCTTGGGCCCAAGGTGTCAAAAAAGAGGATAGAGGTCGACAAGGCCAAAATTGAGGTGATTCAAAAGTTTCCTCCACCTATTTTTATGAAGGGTGTTTGGAGATTCTTAGGACATGCCGGATTTTATAGGTGTTTCATCAACTCCTTCTCCAAAATTGCACACCCATGTGCAAGCTTTTGGAGAAGGAGGTGAAATTTATTTTTGATGAGGCATACCTTAGAGCCTTTGAATGCCTGAATGAGAAGTTGATTTCTACCCCCGTGATCATTGGCCCAGATTGGGCAGAGCCATTTGAGGTGATGTGTGATCCAAGCGGTACTGCTTTAGGAGTAGTGTTGGGATAGAAGCACAACAAGTTATTTCATACGATTTACTATGCTAGTAAGTCACTGAATGGAGCAAAGCGAAACTACACAGTTACTAAACAGGAACTGTTGGCTGTGGTGTATACGTTTGAGAAGTTCAGAGCTTATTTGATGGGCACCAGAGTGATAGTCCATACATACCATGCAACTCTGAGATACCTCATGTCAAAGAAGGAAGCCAAACCAAGGTTGATCAGATAGGTGTTACTTCTTCAGGAGTTTGATTTTGAGGTAAAGGATAGGAAAGGTTGTGAGAACCAAGTGGTTGATCACTTGTCGAGGTTGGAGGCTGAAAAGAAAGAGGAACTCGAGCTACACATAAATGATTGGTTCCCAGATGAGCAGGTATTAGCCATTACTCTTGATCTTATTCCTTGGTTCACTGATTTTGCTAACTATGTCGTTAGTGATTTGATGCCTAAGGGGCTGACTTATCAACAAATGAAGAGGTTCATGCATGATGTGGGTAAGTGATTTTTGGATGAACCTTATTTGTACAGGGTATGTGATGATAGCATCATCAGGCAATGTGTTCCTGAAGCTGAGATGTTGCATATTCTAGAAGATTGACACTCCTCTCCGGTAGGTGGTCATCATGGAGTGCCCAGACAGCCCACGAGATACTTCAGTGTGGGTACTACTGGCCCACAATTCATCAGGATGCGATGGACGTAGTGATGAGTTGTGATGTATGCCATCAACAAGGAGCCATCTCTCGGTGCCATGAGTTACCTATGACACATATTCTGCAGGTGGAGCTGCTTGATATGTGGGCAATCGACTTCATGGGCCCATTTGTGAGCTCCTATTGGCAGAAATATATACTAGTTGCAGTAGACTATGTGTCCAAATGGGTTGAGGCAGTTGGTTATCCTGAGAATAATGGTAAGAGTGTTGCTGGTTTTCTGAAGAAGAATGTCTTCTCAAGGTTCGGCACACCCCAGAGCTATCATCAGTGATGGTGGTTCTCATTTTTTCAATAAGGTGTTCAGCTCTCTCCTGGCTAAATATGGAGTCAAAAAGCACAAGATAGCAACACCCTATCACCCACAGACCAGTGGCTAAGTGGAAGTCTCCAACAGGAAAATTAAAGCAATTCTGGCTAAAACGGTGAATGCCAACAGGACAGATTGGGCACAAAAGTTAGATGATGTTTTATGTGTATATCGGACTGCTTTTAAGATGCCTATTGGTATGTCTCGATATCAATTGGTGTTTGGAAAGACATGTCATTTTTTGGTTGAGCTTGAGCATAAAGCACTTTGTGCTCTACAAAAGCTGAATCTTAGTTGGAGCGAAATAGCAAACATGAGACTAGATCAGATTAATGAGATGGATGAGCTCCGTTTGAGAGCTTATGAGAGGTCTGCACTGTACAAAGGAGAGGATGATATTGTATCATGACAAGCATATTGAGAAAAAAAGCTTCACTCCTAGTGACTTGGTGTTACATTTCAACTCCAGACTTTGCCTGTTTCCGAGAAAATTGAGATCCAAATGGTCAGGACCTTTTACGGTCACTCAGGTGTTCCAGTCGGGTGCGATTGAGCTTGAAAATGACAAGGGCAAGAGGTTCAAAGCCAATGGCCAGCGAATCAAGGCATACTTGGGTGTTCCGGAGGATGTGAAGATTATGCAGGAATGTAAAGTTGATGAAGTCTGAGTAATCAAGTAACCTGCATCGTGCCACAACGTTAAATGGTGCGTTGCTTGGAGGCAACCCGTTGGTTGTTTTGATTGGCCATGATCTGAGCCAACATCTGAATAGTATTCCTGAATTCTGCATTTGAAACTTCCTGATCTGGGACTAAAGGAGTTGCGTTCGCGTTCCTGGCATTAGCTCTCCTAGCGTTAACTCTATGAGGAGGCATGATCACCAAAACTTAGAAATCGAGTTAGAATGGATTAGATCATACATTACGCATGATAAGAGTAACAAGAAAGTGATGATTTTCCTAAAATACTTTGTAGCCTCCTACTCATTAGATGTGGTGCACTTCACACCCATGAAAAAGACTCTACTTAGTGCGGCTTTTCAGACATCCTAGGACTCTTAAACCTAGTGCTCTGATACCAAGTTTTTCACGCCCCGAGCTATCCCCGAGACGAGGACACGGGACCTAGGACCACAAGTGATCCCAAGCTAACCCTGCTGGTATAATCTGAGCATACTATAATTAACATGAATAAAAATAACTGATGCAGAAACTAAAATCATAAATAAAGAAAAGATAGGGAATACCCATATACTATAATTGAGAGTGTTTAATACAAAAGATATTAACTAGTACTAGCATGAAACTAACTATGTCTGAAAGTAAGCCTATAAACTGACTAGAAATGTTGGGACATATAGTTAAAAATGTGATTTCTAAATCGGAACGTTTTTAAAATAGTCTCTTCATGAAAATCGGTTGTAACTTTAGAAACTACCAAGGTTCATTCATAATCATTGAAAAACAATCAATATTTGGATCATTCTAACATTTAAATCCTAAAATCAAGAAACGTTCAAGAACCCTAATTTCGTTCATAGCATGGAATCAAGAATCGTCTGAATTCTAGGGATCTAATAGGCGAAAGGGACCCATTAATGAAATCCAACATACCTGGTGACAAAATCTCCACGAAAAATTATCAACTAGGGCTGGACTTGACTTTTCTGGTGACTTTCTAGCATTTTCCGGCGGCAGCTAGGGTTTAGCTAGGGTTTCGGCCGCCTCTCTCTCTACTCTCTTCTTTCCTTTTGTTTTAGTTAATTAAATGACTTAGGTAAGTTCTAGTTAGGTTTCTAGGATTCTAAATGACTAACTAAAACCCTTTTATTTTAGGAATTAAAAGAAGAGTGGGAAAAGACAAAAACACCCTTGACTTAAAAGCTGTTCAAATCCTGATGCGAATTGGGCACCTGCCAAATCTAAAAATTCTGCAAATTTTTCCTTCACGAATCTGGTGTGTTATAATATCGGCCTCGGCCTCCCATGTATAACCCTCAACTAAATTATTTCTCCATAAAACCTTAACGGAAGCTACTTTCTTATTCCTCAACCTCTTTACTTATCGATCAAGCATTTCTATCGAAACCTCCTCATAGGAGAGGCATTCATCAACACCTAAACCCTCTAAAGGAAGGATAGATACCGGATCACCAATGCACTTCTTGAGCATGGAAATATGAAACACCGAGTGAACCATGGCCAACTCATTTGGCAAGTCTAATTCATATGCAACTTTCCCAACACATTTGAAGATTTGGTATGGGCTCACATACCAGGGACTAAGCTTCCCCTTCTTACCAAACCTCATCACACATTTCATGGGCGAGATTTACAAGTAGACCCAATCACCAATCTCAAATTCAAGATCCCTCCTTCTAACATTGGCATAAGATTTTTGCCGACTTTGGGTTGTCTTCAATCTCTCTCTAATGAGTCGAACCCTTTCAATGGCATCATAAACTAGTTTGGGACCAATTAGAGCAAACTCACCTAATTCAAACCAACCCATCGAAGATCTACACCTCCTACCATGTAGTTCTTCAAACGGAGTCATGGCAATGCTTGAGTGGTAACTATTGTTGTAGGCAAATTCTATCAATGGGAGATGGTCACCCCAATTCCCCTTGAAATCAATCACACACGCCCTCAACATGTCCTCTAAGGTTTGAATCGTGCATTTCGCTTGACCATCCGTTTGACGGTAGAAAGTGGTACTAAGTTTAATATTGGTACCAAGCCCTTGTTGGAACGCCTTCCAAAAATGTAAAGTAAATTGAGTACCCCGATCTGATATGATAAATAAGGGAACCCCATGAAACTTCACTATTTCCTTGATGTACAACTTAGCATAGTCTTTCGCCGAAAAAAAACCTTGACGGGAATGAAGTAGGTTGATTTAGTCATCATATCAACAATGACCCAAATATAATCATGTTGCCTTCGAGTACGAGGCAAACCCACAACAAAGTCCATATTCACCTCCTCCCACTTCCAAGTGGGAATATTTATATCTTTGGACAAACCTCCGGGTCTTTGGTGTTCGGCTTTAACTTGTTGACAATTCGGACATTTGGCCATAAAACCCACTATATCCTTCTTCATACCATTCCACCAATAGACTTCTCGTAGGTCACGGTACATCTTGGTGGCTCTCGTATGAATAGAATACTGCGAAACATGAGCCTCTTCTAGAATTTTCTCTCTTAAGCTATCAACATACGGAACACATAACCTAGCTTTGTACCTAAGCACCCCATCTCCACCTTGGGAGAAAGCCTCAACGGATTTTCCAAGTACCGATTCTTGCAACTCCATCAAAATAGGATCAAGGTGTTCCTTAGTCTTTACATATACAACAAAAGATGACTTGGAACTATGAAGAACCACAACGCCACCCTTGGTGGAATCCACTAGTTGGACACCTAACTGGGCCAATCTATGCACATCACAAACCAAATCCTTCTTCTCATCTTCTACATGAGCCACACTACCCATGGACAATCTACTTAGGGGATCTACCACTACATTACCTTTGCCGGGGTGGTAAAGGACACTCATGTCATAGTCCTTCAAAAGTTCTAACCACCTTCTTTGTGGGAGATTCAAGTCTTTTTGGATAAACACATATTGAAGACTCTTGTGGCAGTAAACACATCTACATGGACCCCATTTAAGTAATGTCTCCATATTTTCAAAGCAAACACAACCACCGCTAATTCAATGTCATGAGTCGGATAATTTTTCTCATGGACCTTGAGATGCCTTGAAGGATTGGCAGTCACTTTACCATGTTGCATAAGGACACATCCCAAACCCACTGGAGAAGCATCACAATATACCACAAACCCATCGGTACCCTCCGATAAGGTCAACACCGGAGCGGAAGTAAGTCTATCTTTCAATTCTTGGAAGCTTTTCTCACAAGCCTCCAACCACACAAACATAGCTTTCTTTTGAGTTAAGGTCGTCAATGGAGAAGCAATGGAGGAAAGCCCTCAACAAATCTTCTATAATAACCGGCCAAACCCAAAAAACCTCTAATATACGTAGGAGACAGAGGTCTAGGACATCTCTTGACCATATCCGTCTTCTTAGGATCAACCTCAATGCCCATGCTCGACACAATATGACCAAGGAACGCAACCGACCTTAGCCAAAACTCACACTTACTAAACTTAGCATATAATTGGTGGTCTTTAAGGACTTGCAACACAATCCTCAAGTGATCCTTATGTTCACCCTCACTCCTTGAATAGATCAAAATATAGTCAATAAACACGATTACAAACGAATCAAGATTTTTCCTAAATACCCTATTCATTAGGTCCATGAATGCCGCTAGGGCATTTGTTAACCCAAAAGATATGACTAGGAATTCATAGTGACAATATCTTGTTCGGAAGGCCATTTTAGGAATGTCAACCCCTCTCACCCTTAGTTGGTGATAGCCCGACCTTAGGTCAATCTTCGAAAAGTAACTCGCCCATTGGAGTTGGTCAAACAAATCATCAATTCTAGGGAGTGGATACTTATTCTTTATAGTGACCCTATTCAATTAGCGGTAGTCAATACACATCCTAAGGGATCCATTTTTCTTTTACACAAACAATACTGGAGCACCCCATGGAGATATGCTTGGTTGAATAAAAGCTTTGTCTAGCAAATCCTTGAGTTGTGCCTTTAATTCTTTCAATTCGGATGGAGCCATCCGGTAAGGGGGAATGGATATGTGTTGTGTATTAGGCAAAAGAACAATGCCGAAGTCTATTTCCCATTCGGGAGGAATACTAGGCAAGTCATCGGGGAAGACTTTCGGATATTCTCTCACTACGGGGACCGACTCCAAAGAAGGATTCTCGAACTCAACGTCCATAACCCTAACAATGTGATACATGCATCCCTTTGAGATCATTTTTCTAGCTTTTAGACATGAAATGAAACGACCTCTATGGGTAGAGTTTCCCCCTTTCCATTTTAAAGTAGGCTCATTAGGAAATTGAAACGTAAACACCCGGGTTCTACAATCAATGGACGCAAAACAAGCATAGAACCAATCCATCCCCAAGATGACATCAAAGTCAAATATATCTTATTCTACTAAATCAACCAATGTGACTTTATGAGACAATGAAATGGGACAACTCCTATAAACTCTTTTAGCTACAACCGAGTCACCCACCAGGGTAGAAACCAAAAATGGTTCTTCTATGACATCGGGGAGTACATCAAATTTCATAGCCAGAAAAGGAGTAACAAAAGATAAAGTGGCACCAGGGTCTAATAATGCATAAACATCAATGGAAAAGACTTGGAACATACCAGTTACCACGTTCGGGGAACTCTCTTGCTCACCTCGGGATTGGAGAGCATAGAAGCAATTTTTCTTAGGAGCATCGGGATTTGAACCACTTGTAGGAGCTTGATTACCCTCTTTCCCCTTGGCCAAAAGGGTTGGGAAATCTTTCAATTGCTTCCCACTTTTTCCACATCCATAGCACACACCCATACCGGTAAGACATTTTCCCTCATGCCTCTTACCGCAATTGGCACATGTAGGTCTCTCCATGGAAGATCCACCCCGATTGCCTCCTTGAGGCTTAGGGTTAGACACCCGATCTTTGTTGGTCTTTGGAGCATTGGAAGAGCTCTGGTTGGAAAACCTCTT